TCATACGATCTTCATCCTCAATACACTCAAAACATCGCTAAGCAAAAGATGTACCCGCTAAAAAGGAAGTGTTTACCATCCATGGCTGCCATGATGTTTACCATCAGTAAAGGTGGTTCAGTATAAAACAACGCCTTTTACTTTTTCTTGTCAACGTTTAAAAATTACGCTTTTAAATAAGCTGGTTTCTTTAATTGTCAGTCTATATGCTTGATGTTTTATCGATTCGCAGTTCTATTTATTTATTTATTTGTTGTTTTATACATTTTTCTATTTGTTTATTTCTTCTTTTATTTTTTGTTTTATTATTTTATTTATTCTTCTATTTTTAATTTATCGTTCTATTTTTCAATTTAATCTTTTATTTATTATTTTATTCTTTGATTTATTCTTTTATTTTATTATTTTATTTATTCTTCTATTTTTAATTTATCGTTCTATTTTTCAATTTAATCTTTTATTTATTATTTTATTCTTTGATTTATTTTTTGTTTTATTATTTTATTTATTCTTCTATTTTTAATTTATCGTTCTATTCTTGAATTTAGTCTTTTATTTCTTGTTCTATTCTTCAATTTATTCTTTTATTTATTGTTTTATTTTTTGATTTAGTCTTTTATTTATTTATCTATTCTTTTATTTATTCTTTTATTTATTTATCTATTCTTTTATTTATTCTTTTATTTATTGGTGTTTTTCAATTTTGGCCCTAATGGCACACCATAGTATTCTTGCTATAATAATGAACAGGTAACGCATAAACACAAGATAAGCATATATGTATTGTTTTGTTTCTATGTCTACTTAGGGATACTGGATTGACACCCGTGGATTATCCACAATCTGAGACATACCGTCCCGTCGTCCACGATGATCATAATATGGACATCTCGATACCCAATGATGTTTTGCGAAATGGCAGACTGGGCGTAAGTTCTACACCACACATCACAGAAAACGATTCTCGGTCACCCGGGAACGAACCTAATAATGTTTTAGTCCAATCAGCGAAAATAACATCGAGGGAGGCATATCGCAATACTATTAGAGACGATGTGCTGCACAAATACAACTGGATAAATATAACTCGTTTCACGCCCAATATGTTTTTACGACGAAGCGGAAAGTATAACAATTCTCGGGATAATGTTTTACTTTTTTTGCATAACCAAAAATCAGGAGGCACCACTTTGAAAAAATGCATTGACAGAATAACAGCACACCTTCATCTCCCAGACGCTGTCGGAATTATGGATCGTGATGTATCCGATCTCTCAGAAACCTTCTCTGGTACATCTGATTTCCATAACAGATCTAAGTTATATGTTAGCCACAATGCGTTTGGACTATGTGATGAACTTGATGATCCCCTGTGCTCGTACTTTACTTTATTACGTGACCCAATCGACAGAATGATTTCAAGTTTTGAGTACTGCAAGGAGCATGTGTTCGATTCAATTTGCATCGCCAGTGACGTACATCAGATGAACCTCACACAGTGGGCAAGTCACCAAGGCAGTTATTTTTTTAGGCAGTTGATGTACAAACCATCAACGTTCTGCTCTGAAGCAACTTTTAACTCGACAATACTGCCTATATTACAATCGAAGGGGTACTACAGAAACGGGCATAAACGAGTACCGTGTTGGTACAGGCATAAATTACTGTTAGATAACGTCATGTCGAAGAATGAAAAAGACATCGTGCTGGATTTCATTCTAGAGAAGCTAGAAGAGTGGTTTGCTCTCATTGTCATCACGGAGGAGTATGACATGTCTTTGAAGTTGTTGCAACGTGCCTTTAACTTGCCATTTTACGAGCTTTGCGGGGGTTTCCGAACTCAAATCACAAAATATGCAACGGAGGAAGGCCGAGTACAAGGGTCGTCTAAAGATGACCTTATTAAACAATTAAAGCTCCAGCTGCAACAGGATTCGACAGCGTACGATGCTTTGTATTATGACATTAGAATATATGAAAAGGCTTTAGAAATCTTCCACTTAGAAAAGAGAGCTTTCTTTGAGGAATTGTAGTTGTAAAAGTGAAATATTAGCACAATTCAGTTCATTGTTTTGAGTGAGTGATGAATATTGGCTCACCATTAAATAAAATCAACCAGTTCTACAAGCGACGCGTGGCTTTTGTGACGTAAACAGGTGTAAATACAGAGGGGCTGTGTTATGGAAAATTGTCTAAGCAATACGTCATGGCGTCGATATTGTTTTAAACCATTTTTAATAAAAAGATATGTATTCGATTTTGTTTACACAGCCAACTCTATTAATCTCTTGATCCACATTGCTTACAGGCCTTGCTCACTGACATACAATGAATGGATTACGAACGACTTTCGGCATAGCGCACACAACGTACATCGCAATAGTAATATTCTGTATAATTTGCTGATTTGGTGAAACACAAACGATCTTTATCCATAAATAAAATATAACTTTAATGAAATTAATCACAGAATATATTATTGTGCTAGGTTTACTCTATTGTTATTTATTTTACGCATTGGTAATGTGACAGTGTTAACCTTGGAAGTTTGTATGAATGAAGCAACATTCCTCGTATTGTCAGTTGAAGGCATCGTGATATGCATAAAAAGCTTGAATTTCACATATACTTTAAGGTAATACTTTCGTCATAATAATACAAATATTTGCCAGATTTTTCCATTGTATTCATATTTTGTTACATAATCATTTTCTTTACTTTTTGAAAATAATTATGTATAACCACTGTTGTGGCACAAACTCAAATATTACCATAAAGTGTGTCGGCAATGTGGACAACACCGTAATTCAATACTAAGCTCAATACTTCACAATTTGGTTAACTCGCTACGTGTTTTACCTCTACATATCAAACCAACTGCTACATTGTCGTATATTTGATTTGTGTATTTGTGTTTTTTAACCCCGTCGGCATGTCTATGAATGGTGTTTTTGTTTACAGACGAGATTATAATATATTATATTATTCTATGTGTGTGATTGAATGTATACTTTCACATATGATGTTGTTGTATTTGGCATCGGCTGTGAGAAATCGTAATCTGTTTGTTAGTTACTCAGTATCAGATCTGAAATTTAGACCCTCCTGGATTTTGAGGGGCAAATTTTGCGGACACAAAGGGTTTCAACTTGATTTGGGTGACCCAACATTTTTTTCGAGTTTGCGGCCGCCTCTCTGCCTCCCAAGTGCCGCCGCCACTTTGTAAGAGAAAGTCCATATGTGATAAATTTCAAATTTGTTAATTTAGTGATGTTTCGTTTTCATAGGGTATTTGTAATTGGGGAAATCGGTAATTTGCAGAAGATCCAAGATAACATATACTGCATTGCATAATTAAAATATGGCTAAACTGTAACACACATATCTAATATATTTATTAACGTCTATGGTCTGTCATTTTGATTATTAGAATAAATATTATAGTGTTATTTCACCAATAATATTTGACCCAAGTTTCAAATAATATGAAGGTGCTGAGCAAAATGATCTAGGGCAGATGTCACGACAGTCAGAAAGGAGTATGTGATTTGCATAAAGCCAATATGGCTGCCAATGCGTTATTATACATACTATTGGCTATTTTCAAATTATACTAGGTTGTTTTGTGACACTACACAAGTTCAACGCACTTATAACTGATTCATGTGCATATTTTCAATATGGCTACACAATAGAAATATAGACATTGATGATGTATTGTTTGTGATGAGAGGGTCAATTGTCTTTGGAGTCATCTTCCTCTTCTACGGCTTTATTCCCAGTTGCTGAGGTCGCCCGTGCGGATAATTCTTCTCCATTCGTTTCTATCAAGCGCATCTTTCTCCTGTTTTCCCGCCGCTTTCAGGTCGTCATCTATGCAATCCTGCCATCTTTTTGGTCTTTTTGGTCTTCATTTCTTCCTTTTTCCAACTACCATGTTACGCATTCTGTTTTCAACACATGTCTCTTTCCTTTCTCACCACATGTCCAAGCCACCAGTCTCGTTTTTCTCAACTTATGTCCCAGTTCTGTAATTCCTAGTCTTCGCCCCACTTCCTCATTTTGGATTCTATTTAACCTAGTGTTTCCCAGGGAGAATCTCAACATCTTCATTTCTGCCACCTCCATCTTTCTCTCTTGTGCCTTTGTCACTGTCACTGCCTCCACTCCATACAACATCACTGGTATCACTATTACCTTGTGCAACCTTCCTTTCAACTTTACTGGCACTTTCCTGTCACACATGACCCCTGTAATTTTCTTCCAGGTGCTCCAGCCAACCTGCACTCTCTTCACTACCTCCTTCTCTGATCCTCCATTCTTCTGTACTGACAATCCCAGATACTCTTCCACCCGGTTCAGTTCCTTTTCTTGCATTTTCACCGTACCTTCCTCCCCACGTCTCTATATGCACAAATATTCCGTCTTCTGCCTGCTCACTCTCATTTCTCCATCTTCCATTTCTCGTCTCCATATCTCTAACATATCATCCATCTCTTCTCTGTTGTCTTCACACAGGGCCACATCATCTGGATCCAGGTGCAGCCAACGATCAATAAATTGATTTTATAGGCCTTTTGAAGTATGCTAATTAGTATAAAGGAAAGATGGGAAATTAATAGCTGTTTATAAGCTACCCTCTACCTAAAAAAATGTCTTCCCCTTCTGCTGACCAAACTCATCTTTCCCCTGCCCTCATTACAAAAAACACTTTTTTGCTTACTCTCCTACCGCCAACTTGGCTTTCTTGCCCTCCTGCTGACCAAATTCATCTTTCCCCTCCTCATTAAAAAGCGCCTTTTCCCCTACTCTTCTCTCGTTGTGTTGCCTTCCCTGGGGAGCATGCTGTTCTTTCCCCTACTGCCTTGGTGCAGGCCAGCAGTCACATTGAAATCCCTTGTATCGCTTGCCGCACAACTAACCTTTGTTTTGCTGTCCTCATACATGTCCTGTACTAATCTGATGTACTTTTCGTCCACTTTCTTCAATCCAAAACAATCTAACTCCTTTTCCCCTGGAACCCGGTTATATGCCTTTTCCAGGTCAACAAACGCACAGTGTAGATTTCTCTGACCTTCCCTGTATTTTCTCCAATTGGCGCAGTGCAAAAATAGCATCTGTTGTACTCCTTCCTGGCATAAGCCAAACTGCTGCTCTAATATCTTCACTTTCTTCCTTAGTCTTCTATCAATTATTCTTTCCCAAGGTTTTGAGTGTGTGTAATCCCTCTATTATCATATTATCATATTGTCATATGTAAATATGGCATTACGGTAGTATATATGTTTACGCAGTAAAATTATTG